CCTCCCCTTCTCTTCCATTTCTCCGTAAACCAATAATCAGCATACCTACTGATAGAATCTGTGTCAGTGGGGCCCTGTCCCCTCACAAAACCCCCTCCCCACCCTCCACAACAATATGCGCCACGGTATTCCTCAACTGTCTGTCCTTGAATTTTCTGAGAACATACCCGGTTGGCTTATCACCTTTTAGTACGTCCTCCAACCCTGCCCTGACCCTGAGTGCATCAAAACGTTCATATGCATCTTACAAAACGACTCCTAAGTTCCCCCATATCTCCTTCCACTCCCTCCCTACCCCCCCCCGCATAACAATCATTAAACTGACCCTCTAAATAATTCTGCAATCCAAACCTCCAGCGTGCCCGTTCCCTGCCCCTCTTCCTAAAAAATTCTACAATTTTCACCTTTGCCTGCAACTCCCACCAATCTAGCAAATCCACCTCCTCATCCCTACCTCCCAAAACCCTTTCCACCATGACTGAAAAGACCGACCTTGATCCTCCTCCTTTTAAAAGACTCACATTTTAATTTCCAATAGCTTGATATATTCTGGGAATAACCATCCCCCCTAAGGTCAGCCAACACTGCTCTGTGATCTGATAACCCACGTCTACTGTTCTAACTCTCTCCACTCCTATCCCTCCCCTCACATAAATCCTACCCAAACCCTTGCCTCATAACTCCCCTGTACATAGGGATACTCAAACCTGATACCCCCCCCTGCCAACCACATCTACCACCCCGACATCACACAAAAACATCCCTTAAGAAAACCCAACCCGCACCCCGCCCCCCTAGGTACTACGTCTACATGCCTAACACACAATTCCAATCCCCCTCCAATTATCGCTATGGCAGGTAAACCCCTGAGATAATATAACAAAACGTCACGAACAAAAAACTGATTTTATCCTTACATTACCAATCGCAGGCATATAAACTCCCACAAAACATACCCCTACTCTGCCCCCACCACCCATCCACCCCAACAACCCTCCCCCCACCCCCTCCCCCCACCCCATGACTCGCAATGGACTGGTCTCCTTTACTAAAACAGCCATCCGCCCTTTAAAAGCGTTGCCATGCTTATAAACAACTTATATCCTCTCAATCTCAACTCCTACCTGACTTATAGTTATGCTCCGCAGGAAACAAACATCAACGTCGTACCTTTTGAGGAACCACTCCAACCAGACCCTTTTTACCTCAGTTTTTAGGCCATTAGCATTTATCGTTACACACCTGAATGGTCAGGGGGAGGCGGCTTACCTCTGTGTCGCTGTGGCTTGCTCACACTTCCCTTCAAGCTGCTCACACTTTCCCTTTTTACTCTTTTTAATAGGACCCCTACCCCCCCCTTTTCCCCTCCCCCCCATTTTTCCCCGTACTTCCCCCCCTGTAGGGGATTTGCGGGCCACCTCTGCCCATGCCTTCTTACCTGGTTTTGCCCAGGTGTTAAAACATCATCTAATTCAGTCAACCCCACTGGCCCCTTTTCCCAGAACCTGCCTACCAAAGCCACCTCTTCCTCAGGTACATCCTCCCTGTGTACCTCTGCCACTACAAGTATACCTTTCCAGTATTCCCTGCTACTTCCCACTTCTCACTCAGCCCTTGCAATTGCTGCGTTTCACTGGCCGTCCCTCCATGTCCCCTCCTACCACGGCCTCCTTTCCCAAAAATTCCTGGAGCATGACTCCAAGGACACCTCCTGTGTCGACTCCCCCACTTTTCCCCCACCACCACAGGCGTTTTGGGGTAGGAACTCCCTCCTCCACCGGGAGTGTGACACAGTCCCCATCTGGGTTTACCCTCCTTCTCCACCTCCTCACTCCATAGAGGAGTCCAGTCTTCGCCGCCGCCCCACACTCGTTTGCTGGACGTCCTCCACGGGGCTGACACCCCCGGGCCCAACTCTACGTGCACATTGCGCCGCTAATGATCATAAGAGCCGCAAAGACGACACGTTCTCCTTTGCCCACATACGGGCACATATACCTGATTTTTGGTGCCTGTCAACATGACATACGAAGGTATAGGCGTCTTGAGGGTCATCTTGATGTTGTATGACCCTTCCGGGAGGCCCCCATTGGTCCATCCTCCTACCCCACCTCTGGGTTCATGAATGACTCCATACTTGCTAAAAACTTCCATTATACCAAACTTAGTTGCCTCAAGGGTACATTCCTCACTCGTACCCACGTAAGTAAAATAGACACGTCATGCAAGCACAAAATCCATCGTCGAGTTGAGGACATTCGGCGTTCCTGGTATCCCCCACCACACTGCTGTAGTAGCTAGTCCTCAGGAACTTCACAAATATCGTTTCACCCCATTAAGGGCCACACCATACAGTTCCTCGTTAGGGATACCATATAAATCCCTAATAATTGCAGGAAGAACGACGTTCATCGTAGCAGGGCTCAGAGAACCCCTCAACAGCTCAATGCAGACTGTGTTAATCCTCCTGCCGGTGTACTCCGCCATGTCTGAACAGGGAAAACTGCGCAGAAACCAGGATTAGTGGGAGCTACTGCGCAGTGCGTCCGCACGGCCCAACAGCGATGCGGACAATGATGTAGACAACAAGAGCATGTCACCCCTCCATGGAAGATGTGTTCATTTAATATCACATATCTGCAAGTCCCTCCCAAGAACCTCAGAGACAGACAGTATAATAACCTATGTGACATGTCAAGATATCTTATTAATGAAAATAAGATACCTGATATACTAAGCAAATTTCCTAAATTTGCTTGTAACAGATAAGTGAACTGTATATATGTAGATATAAATCCATATGTACAACTGTTAACCCTCTTGGGGCCTAGTTCCTAGGTCTTTTGTGTATCCATATGCTCTCGCGCTGCCGTCCACAGGATGGATATGGGGTGCACAATAAACTAGCCACTTCGGTGGCAAAATATAAAATCTAATTTACCAGTCGACTAACATCCAGGTACCTACTTACTGCTAGGGCAGCAGCAGGTGTAAGGAAATATGCCCAACGTTTACACTCGTCCGGGTGTCAAACCCCGGTCCCTCAGTGTATAAGCTGAAGCCGCTATTAAGTAATAATAGTAATATCTTTATTTTTACAAGTACATGTACAAGGTATACAGACCATAGCTGACATCAATGACATACTACTATATAGAAAGCCCCTTGTTATGCAGAGCATTTCGGGCAAATTAGGCCAGTTTTATCCCAGGATGCGACCTGTGGAAAATTACATTTATCTGTATGTAACTCATTATGTACATAACAGTAAATAACAAAGATAATTATTATTTATCAATGTTACATATTATTATTAATATAATCAAAAAGAAGCGCTAAGTCACAAAGGCTATACAGCGCTGCTCAATGTTACATAGACAAGTAGGAATTTGGGACACCTAGGTCGCAAAAATGTCCCCCTTCAATACCTACCACTGTCATATCCACAAGTTGCTCTGGACCTATTAATTATAAATGAAATATACATACACCAAGAATGCTGGTAAATATATAAATTTGTGGACTGTATATTAAAATTAAAAAATGATTATATATAAACACATTTACATAACAGAAGGAAAATATCTTAATATCACTCACCAATTTGACTGGAGATTAATGTGTCATGTACAGGACCCCCCCCTTTTGCCTACATTTATGAAAAATTTACTGGCCAGAATTTAAACATAAATTAGACATAGTTCCTGACTATGGAACTGAACTTCTCCAGGCCGAGGGACTGACAACCTCAAATTCTACGACTTTAAGGGTGATGGACTGATTACATCGTCTTCACATCTCTACTGTTCCTGCCTACTTTCTGTATTCGACTGAAGAAGCCTACTGTGTAGGTGAAACGTTTCGGAATAAAGTTGTCTAACTGTTGCATATGTGTCTTACCTAACATAAATTAGACAGCTTATCTGAGGTTCCTGGAGTTGTCCTGTCCTGTCGCCTGATACTCAAATTATGCAGGAATGCACATCCAACAATTTCGTCTCCTATTTGAGAGGTGTCAGCCCAATTTTAACCTCTAGAGCACGAAAAAATTCTTCCCATTACACAATGTCTGTTACTCCAATTCAAACAAACAATGGCGACTCCTGTCTGCACAGGCGCAGGTCCAGTTTCCCATTTTCCATAATATAATTCTTTTAAATACAGTATGGCCATCTATTTACATATAACTACTGTATTTCTGGAAAATATATACAGTATTTTCCACACGACCCACACCAGTCGACTAACACCCAGGTATCATTTTACTGATGGGGAACATAGTTAGACCTGCCTCGCATGGGCCAGTAGGCCTGCGGCAGTGTTCCTTCTTTCTTGTGTTCTTATGTTTCTATCCTCGCCGGGAATCAAACCCAGACCCTCGCCGTGTGAAGCGAGAGCTTCAGCCACCAGGCTATAGGGGCTGGTGGCGAACATAATAAACTAGCCGTTCAAGCAGCACAAAGCAATTATTCCGTTCTTATAAACAACTCGAATTTATTTTCAATAGTTTATATAGTAACTTATATAGAACAGAACTCAAGATAATTCAGTAAGGTCTAACAGTGTAAGTGGGGTTCTTGGTCACTTTCCATTCGGATATACCTAATGTATATTTTAAAATAAATGTATCCATACTTACTCCCCTCAAGGAAGGTTCCTTGATGTTGGTGAGGGGCTCTTGATTTAGGGAATTGGATCTGTGCTCCAGTTCCCCGAATTAAGCCTGAATGCCTTCCACATATCCCCCCCCCCAGGCGCTGTATAATCCTCCGGGTTTAGCGCTTCCCCCTTGATTATAATAATAATAATAATCCATACTTACTAATTGTTTAATGATTAAAACTTGTATTTCATGTGTTGTACCTCACTTATGAACTGAAATATAGGTTAGGGAAGCGACAGTGTTGCACGTTGTTGAGGATCAATACATCACTGGTATTTAATACCGACACGTTGATGCATTAGACACACGTGAAATATTCGGGTAATTTTTATTAGTAGATAAAGAGACCCAGATGATGTACATGTACCTTCTTCATGAAGATGTGCTGAGACTTGGCAACACTGGCGTTGTTTTGTTGAGAATGGCGGGTAAAGTTGTCTGCTGGTCCTGATAACTTAATGTTTTACTGCACAAAACAAGGGTAAGTCAGTGTTTCACAAGTAACTGACCATCTTATCCAACCGTATTAATTATGTGGAATATATAGCTGGGTGTGGTTACCTGGCTGTAACACCACTGGGTCGGGATCTGCTCTTCTTACTAAGTTTATTTACGAACAATTTTACGCAATTTTTGGATGACTCCAGTTGTCTTAACATGTTAATATTATGTAAAAATTACCAAGGATAACCCAGAGAGGTCAGACACACTGACTTATTTCCACTGGGGTCCTTGTTTGACTTGGGTGGGTTATCCTAGGTTCAATATTATTAATGTTAATTTGTATTGAAGCATCGTACGTAATTTTGATAATTGACAGTGATTTTTATGTAATGAATTATGTACAATTCAGCCTAGGATAACCCAGTACTCACACTGTGACACTTATCTAACTATATCAGGTTATTAGGTCTCCATGAATAATGAATAACACACTTGTGTAATAATAAAAAACGTAATGATGAATAAAACACTCGTGTAATGATGAATAAAAGACTCGTGTAATGATGAATAAAACACTTGTGTAATGATAAATAAAACACTCGTGTAATGATGAATAAAACACTTCTGTAATAATGAATGAGACTCCTGTAATGATGAATGAGACATTTGTGTAATGATGAATGAGACATTTGTGTAATGAATGAGACATTTGTGTAATGAATGAGACATTTGTGTAATGGTGAATGAGACATTTGTGTAATGATGAATGAGACATTCGTGTAATGATGAATGAGACATTCGTGTAATGATGAATAAAACACTCGTGTAATGATGAATAAAACACTTGTGTAATAATGAATGAGACTCGTTTAATGATGAATGAGACATTCATGTAATGATGAATGAGACATTTGTGTAATGATGAATGAGACATTTGTGTAATGATGAATGAGACATTTGTGTAATGATGAATGAGACATTTGTGTAATGATGAACGAGATATTCGTGTAATGATTAATGAGACATTCGTGTAATGATGAACGAGACATTCGTGTAATGATGAATGAGACATTCGTGTAATGATGAATGAGACATTCGTGTAATGATGAATGAGACATTTGTGTAATGATGAATGAGACTCGTGTAATGATGAATGAGACATTAATGAATGATGGAGACAAGAATAAAGGAACACTAGCAGGCCTTTTGACCCATGCTAGACAGGTAAAGGGCTCTTGATCAGAAATATTGGCTCTTCTCTCTTCTGGAGATGAAACCTGATTACTTCCCATTCCCAAGTGTTTTTTTTTTTTTTTACACAAATCAGTTTTATAAGATAATAAGAGCTTTATCTTACATCAGCTCATTCAGAGCCCCAGCCCTTTCTAAGGTATACTACCACCCCCAGGATGAGACTCAAACAAGTCGCCTAGTGCCCAGATACCCAGTTACTGCTAGGTGAACAGGGGCAGCAGGTGTAAGGAAACATTGCCTAACAGTTCCACCCTTGTTGGTGATTGAACCACGGACGCTCAGCCTGTGAGCTGAGTTCATTATCGCTGAGCCATGGGACACACACTATAACCCCTATGAATATAATAATTTGTGTAAGAGTTGCCTGATTGGTCAAATGCAGGTGATCATTTTGCCAGCATTCCAAATAGTAGATCGGTCAAGAGAAATCTCTGATGTTTTGCACTAATGAAAAGTTCTCCCATGAATAAATTTAGTAAAGCTATCAACAAGCACAAATATAATTAAACTTATACTAACCTAACCCAAATAAAACTAAATTGTGTTGTTGAATAAAACTAGATTATGTTGTTGAATATGTGGCTGAATTTTAGCATGCAACTGAACCTACTACCTGAATAGCTGACTGACATCGATGATTTGAAAAGTTCGGGATATATCTGGGCATTGTTAAAACAATGAACTGAATTTATTCAAGATTAATTAAGCCTTGACAAAGCTCCTGGTGAATGAGCAGTGCTGCATGACCCTTGTCGGTTTAGGGCTTTATTTGATTATAATAATTATCCTGATGAATGAAATGTGATAAAAGTATCCAAAACTCTGCCTGACTGTCCATTTAATAGTGTTGACAGTTTCATAACATTCACACTCTCGAATGTTAAGCTGTTGGTTCAGTTTTTATGACTTTTTCTTGATTAACCCGTAAACAGGCCAAACGTATATATACGTTTTTACCGCTACTGCCCCAAACGTATTACCTGGAGAGAGTTCCGGGGGTCAACGCCCCCGTGGCCCGGTCTGTGACCAGGCCTCATGGTGGATCAGAGCCTGATCAACCAGGCTGTTTTTGCTGGCTGCACGCAATCCAATGTACGAGCCACAGCCTGGCTGGTCAGGTACCGACTTTCATTTTTCATTCCTTCAAAATTGGCACGTTAGGCCTGAGTCGCTTAGACACAAGAGAATGGATGTGCGCCATATGAAAAAAATCGGAGATGCCTGGGTACTGCATGGCAGCACCAGTTGCATTCAGCTCCATCTTGGGTCAACATCATGGCACATCCTCGTGATTCACTCATGCCTCGTCGTATTAACGCTTTCAAGGAAAGTGATATAGAACGTCAGTTTAGTGGATTTGACACATGTGGCTATTAATAATCAAGGAAATAGTGAAAATATTGACGATAACCAAGATGACCCTCAGCCCATCACCTCTGAGGTGGCCAGTGGGGCCACACCAGACCCTAGGCCAAGCACTTCTGGGGTGGCCAGTGTAGCCACACCAGACCCTAGGCCAAGCACTTCTGGGGTGGCCAGTGTGGCCACACAAAACCCTGGGCCAAGCACCTCTGGAGTGGCCAGTGTTACCCATAGGCAACTACGCAAGAGGAAACTATCATTTTCCCAGTGTTTTAGTGATAGTGAAAGTGGTGTAAGTGACGATGAGACTGATTTTATGCCATTAGAGGATTCGTCTAGTGATAGTGATCATTATTCACCAGTAAGCGTACTTTTAGGCATCGTCGCCTACGTTCAGGCAGTGTGCCATTTGCAGTCGGCGGCAAAGGGTTATGGCAGGTCACGATCCAAAACCCCGGCCACTGATAATGAAAGTGATCATGAAGGTGAATATGCGGGGATGGAGGAAGTAGTGGTGGGTGGCACGGTGCCTGGACCACATGGCGCGGTGGGTGGACAGACAAAGGACTGCCCGGCATCCCCTCAACCACGTGCTGCCTCCACTCCTGTCCCCCCTCCTGTTCCCCCATGCCCCATGCCAGAGGTCCACCCTGCACCATGTGACTGAGAAGAACTGGACACAAAGTATATCCGTGCTACAGCCTTTTGATTTTGATGTGAGTGGAAGTGGTATCATGCCAGAATGTCCCATAACAAATGAGTCTACAGAGTTAGACTTTTTCCAGTTATACTTTGACGAGCCTATAATGAACTTGATAGTGACCCAGACGAACAATTATTACCACTATATAATGGACAATACAGCAGAGGTTGGGGAATCATCACGGCTGCGTAGATGGAAAGATACAACAGTCGCTGAAATGCGTTTATTCCTTGCCACTGTTATGCTTATGCCACATGCCTATAAGAACAATATACGTAACTACTGGGCCACAGACTACTTAATCAGTACTCCTGTCTTCCGTGACCTCCTTCCCTGCAACAGATTCACTCTGTTACTACGAATGTTGCACTTCTCAGACAGGAATAGGCCCAACAGAAATGACTCTCTATACAAAATTCGGGAAGTGTTTATCTATATGAAGCATAAATTCAGTGCCTACGTTTATCCCTTCAAGAACATTATTGTTGACGAGTCCTTGATTCTGTTCAAGGGATGACTATCATTCAAGCAATATATACATGTACCGAGCAAACGTCATTGCTTTGGTATAAAACTTTTTGCTATGTGTGACTGTGAGAGTGGTCTTGTGTTGGATGTCATTGTACAGTGGAACCTCAAAAATCAAACTTAATCCATTCCAGGAGCTAGTTCTAAATTCGAAAAGTCTGAAATTTGAAGCAATATTTCCCATAAGAAATAATGGAAATACAATTAATCCGCTCCAGAAACCCAAAAATATTCACACAAAAAATAAATTTTATAGAGATTAAATACAGTTTTACATACAACAAATACTATAGTTTTTAATTATGTATAGTAATACATATAAAATAACATTTTTACTTACCTTTATTGAAGATTGGTGATGGCATCTGGAAGATAGGGAGGAGGAGAGAGGGAGTTGGGATTAGTGTTTGTAAAGAGAATTCCCCTCCATGAGGACTTCAGGTAAAGCCCTCTCTGGGGTTACTTCCCCTTTTCTGTCTTTTAATGCCACTAGGACCAGCTTGAGAGTCACTGGACCCCTGTCTCACAAAATAACTGTCCACAGTCCTCTGTTTTTGGCGCCTCTTTAACATTTCCCTAAAATGGGACATGGTTCTGTCACTGAACTTGTTGCAAAGATGGCTTGTTTCAGCTTGCTCTGGGTGGTACTTATGCACAAACATTTGGACATCATTCCACTTGGCACAAATCTCCTTAATCTTTGAAGAAGGCACCTCATCCACTCCCTATATTAACACCTTTCGCAACATCAGCTTCCATGATTTGTTCTTTCTTTGACAGGATAGAACCGATGGTGGACTTGTTTTTCCCATACATCCTGGCAAGCTCAACAAGTCTCACACCACTCTCATACTTCTGTATTATTTCCTTCTTCACATCTATGGTGTTTCTCACTTTCTTTACCACAGGGGCACCACTAGCAAGTTTCTTTGGGCCCATGGCAGCTGATTTCACAGTCCCACAAGCACTAAACACAACGAAATAATCGTAAAATGCATGAATGAGAGCGCAGGTTAGTGTTCACTCAAGCATAAACAAAGCTAGACTGCTCACGGCGCCTGCGTGGGGACATGGACAGAGCGGGTGGCAGACAGGTCCCGTACCCGGCGGTCTGAAAATAGGGGCGCATTCGATAATAGGGACACAGTTTGTCCGAAAAAATGGTCCTATTTTCGAAATGTTCGATATGT